TTTTGTCTCTCCTCTATCCACTCACCCCAACCGGTTGAGGCAGAAGGCCGCCCACCAAGACCCGGGGTCTGTTGGAGGTTTCTTCCGTTAAAGGGAGTTTTTCCTCCCCACTGTCACCAAGTGCTTGCTCAAGGGGGATTAGTTGGGTTTTCCCTCTGTAATAATATTGATAACAGTAAGGTCTAAGTGTCCTGAGATGACTTTTGTTGTGATTTGGCGCTATACAAATAAAATTTGATTTGATTTGATTTGCACAAGAACGTAATCCAGCCTAGCTGAAACTGCCTATGCTCCATTTCCATTCGATTTAGAGAAAAACATGTTGGAATCAGACATGAGAGCAGTGAGAACATGGACGTGAGTGATACATACATGCTGTCAGTATTTTTCTAAGAATCTGGGGACTGTGGCATCCTTGAGGGACATTTACAGTCTACAGTAAAGTAACACATATGGGTGTTTTTATATGCAGCTACCAGTATTTCTAAACTGAAAAAATGTATAAAGCACAAAAAAAAGATTTCACTACTCCAGCATTTTAGTCCTGGCAATTTGGTGAAAGCACCACTTAGGCCTTTATGGAAGTAACATTTGCATAAAATGTAATCAATACTGATCTCAGTATGTATACAATCCTGGCCCTGTTATCAGGTGTGTCATGGAAATCACACCGCTGTTGTTCAGACCTATAGTGTTTAGGTTGTGCAGTCAGTTGCAGCTTGCTAAATGTTAAATAAAAAATTTAAAGCCAGTTTTTATGCTGTGATTGATCAGCTTTGTTATAAAACTAAGTGATTACACTAAAATCAGAATCAGGGGCTGGAATAAATTCCAAACATGCAGGGGGTTTGAGACTCCTTATCTGATCTCCTAATCATCTATACCTAACCCATTCATTGGGTATGCTGATTGCTCTGTATCATTTGCTGATTGATTAAAAATTACTGCCCTGGTGCATCCCCAGTATTTGTTTGGGCTTTTTAACTGAATATAAGTGAATTCATAGAACTAAAATGGGCAGTCGGAGCTGAAGTTTGTAAATTATTGCTATGGTTGCATAATACAAACACTCTTCATAACTGGCTTTAATTTGTTTACAGTACATGGTGATGCAACATAGAGTATTTACTGAACTCATCTGTTTCTCTGTAATGCTGGAAAAATTCTCTGTTTTACCAAAACAAACATGCCCACAGACTGTTTCTCTGTAATGCTGGAAAAATTCATGTTGCATTTAATTGATTGCTCATTTAAATTGTTCTCCTTTAAATCCACCATTATTTAAATGTTATAGAATGTAATAGTAATTACATCCCACCTGGGCTGTTGTTTTTCCTCACTGAGGGCTGAAAGTTGCAACTTGAATAAATTATTCACACAGTATCACATCCATTAGATTTAGTACTTTTAGCCAAATCTGAAATGTAAACAGCAGCTTGGGGTTCATACATAATCACCAGTGGCCTGTTAATACCACCAACTTCTGCACAATCCACCAGTGACAGCTGGTGTCTTTAATTTGTCACTGACTAATATGGATTCAATTACAATGTGATTACAATGATAGAATGAGCCACTTGTTAGTTAACATGTAGCCGTGCCCCACCCATCACTCCAGGCCTCTCTAGTTGAGTGCACATTGTCATAGTAACTGGTGTGGTCCTAGACTAACTTTACCCTATCTAGTTTCTGTTTACATATGTAGACTGAAGCATCCACTTAAGCAGTGAGTTCTATCAAGACAGTGATCTGTTTGTTCTTGTTACTATGTACTGGTAATGTTGATTATTTGTTTATTTTCTTTTGTAAACTGCTTTTGTCTGATTCACTTGGTAGGATCACTTCTATGGGAATTTTCTGTTTGTTCAGCTGTCATACATTCCATGTCTTGTCTGCTCAGTATACCAGGAAGTGAACAAACGACTAGGCCACAGATGAGTTTGAGGTGTCTAGACAGAAAATAAAAATACAGAAAGATGAAGTCACCAAAACAACAGATAACCTGACTGATCCCTCTCCAGATCTGAAAATTCACCTCTAGGTATAAGCTCTTGATGAACTGTCATCCTCTGTTTTCTTGATACTTAGCAACAAATTCTAATGTAGTGCTGCTGGAAACAATAGGGAACATATATCACATGTGTGACCATGTGCTGGGGAGCTGCAGGCCTTTATTTAAAACACATTTTTACTCTTGTTTTAGGAATAAATTATTTCAAACCATTTTCTCCCTCTTGTGGCAAAACAGTAGAAGTCTCTTAATTTAGTCTGAGGAAGTTAATTTGCTGTGTTCCTAGAGTTCTACAGTGAACGTGGTGTATAATCTGACAAAGCAGTGCAGTGTTATTTGTTAACAGTGCTAAAGCTGTGGCTCAGGTAAGAGGGAACCACTCGTGACCAGTTCAAATCCCTGACAACAGCTTTTTCTTTACTTTTATGTTTACATGTATGATGTCAATTTGAGCTGTGCCCTAACTGACCAATCCATGTTGAGCACGCCTGCAGATGGGGAGCAACAGTGGGGATTCTGGGTATTCTGTTGAACGAGTGAGGGAGACGCAGCAGAGAGGGATGGTAGGAATTAGGCTGCTGAGGATTAGTGCCTGAGCTCTGATGGCCTATTGGCTGCAGAGACCTTGTCCACTCTGCATGGACTTGAACCGTCAATAACAACTTCTTCAAAAACAAGCAAGATTATTATCCTGTCCTAACTTTTCTAGGATGTTTTTAACTAAATGAATACAGACCACACCTTTAGGCCTCATTTTTCCTCAATCCTTACATAGTTCAGGTGTACTATTGGGATTTCTTTCACATGATACAAGTGAGATCATAGTGCTGCTTCTGACAGATAACTCCAGTACTAATATCTACTGCTTTCCAACTGTTTTCAAGAGGAACGGTGAGTGGAAGCAGGACATGCCACTTGTTTGTAATCATCAGATAAGAGACCCGATTGAAAGAGTGACTCAAACCAATTGTTCCTGTCCTGAGTGTTGAAATTTTTTTGCAATTCAAGAATGACCAGGTCCGACTGGATTGACTGGCTTGTTTAATTTGGGCTCTGAAGCCAAGTATGGTCATGCTGTAGACCATAAAAAACACTGGCAGTTTGTAATTTTTACTGTATGATGTGATGTGATTCATACTGTATTGAAGGATTTTGAATTTTCCATATTTATAGTTAATCCTTCTTGGGATTTTATATACTTAAATGCATCTGTAATTCTGTTACAGATGAGACGGGTGGTAACAGCACTGATCACATGCTTGTCAAGGCTAATTTAAGCATGGTCCTCAAGTGACAGTGCAGGCAGTAGAGTAGGTGGCTAATTGTAGAACAGCTGTCGCTATTACATAAAAGTGTCTTAGCAGGTTGTTAGCCCAGTGATCCCAGCCTGTGGCTTGGTAGTGTGAGGGCACCACATATATTAGTGAGCTGCATCACATGCCAGGTGCTCTGCAAATGTAAAGTTATGGAAATGTAAAATTACTGTAACACTATTGACTTTATGTAATTTCTTATTTTTTAATATTTTAGATAAAGTGCTAAAACAGTAATCTATGCAGAGTTCTGCTAAGAGATTTAATTCATGAATTCTCATTGATTAGTGTCCTTTTCACTGCCAAAAAATAATATTTAAGCTAGAAATAAATGTGTAATACCAAGCAGACATTGCTAATAATAGTTTTTTTTAATCATTTAATCCTGCATGAGTGGTACTGGAGTTTATCCTTTTTAATAATAATTCACACCCTCAAACATATTTACCGTTCACTGGCAGTTCATATGCACCCCTTATCTACTATAACAGTACCACAAAGGCTTTAGTTGATCCAGGCTGATTCTCCTCTCCCTTCTCTCTACTTCAAGCTGTCCTAAAGCAAAATGATAAGACCCCAGCACCCCCAATGTTACAGGAGAATGTGTTCATCGAGACCAGCAGGCCGAAATACCTGGAGGACCTTCACACTGAGGCCCTGGAGGGATTGAAAATGATGCAGCAGGAAGGTACACAACACTCTAGTGATACAGTCTTTACATCTCTGCACTAAATTAGCAGTGTCCCATGCCAAATTGTTGATGCCTGCCTGGAGTATTGCTCAAGAGGGTGTGCACCAGGGGAACACAGTGTTAAGAATTTCAAAATACCATTGTAAATGTGCAGTTGCTGAGTTGCAATACATGCTCCTCTCTTTGCAGAAACCAATAATGGAGTAGAGTACCAGGATAATGAAAGCACAATTGTAAGTGACACATTACACCCAGGACTGCTGTTCTCTTGCACATATTGTACATGTGCAGTTCTTGTACAAGTCATCTGTTTTACTTCTTTGCCAGTCGAACATGACGGTACAAACAGATGGTGAAGGTGGAGGGTTTATGACAGACAGCACCACTGCTGACACATCTTCTGTTGTCTCCGTACAATCATCTGTGTCCACAAGATCTGGACTCACTAGGCAAGGTAACTTAACCATAAGACAAAACACTATCTATATCCCATCTTGGACCTTTATACAACATATAGGGATGCATGCAGGATTCAGTTTAATTCAGTGTTTTAATGATGAATGGATAATGTTTATTATCTCTGTCTCCCTAGCATCAACATTCAGGCCCTTAAACTCTGGGAAAAAGACGAAAAGACGACGGCACAAGAAAACTCTTGCGGGTATTCCACAGCATGTCCAGAGAGAATTGGGTATGAAGCTAGGTGTTTTAGATTTACAAGAGATAACTGTAACTGTAAGAGATAACTGCTCCATTTACATACATCATGGTATTAAGTACAGTTATATAACAGTCTTCTATATAGAAAATAAAAGTATGGATGGTTTCTTTGCATATCAAGTTATTAACAAACTTGTGGTAATTAGTTTTCCTGTCTTCTGTCAGGGCTGGACAGAGCAGGTTGGACACTGAGTCAGAAGCAAGATCAAGAGCAGCCTTATAATGGTGACACTGACAACAGCCATACTTCTGATGGGCCACAAAAGGGAACTAGTACCAACCCTCATTACAAAAATGTCATCCAGCCTCTAAACAAAGACCAAGTTGAGCAGCCCGATGCCACCCATGCTGGTCATAGGGACGAGACGGCCCTGCTGCGCCATTTGGGCTCCGACTTTTCAGATGGGCAGAGTTCTGTGTCCCAGGGGCCACCCAGCCCTGTCATGTCCATATCACCCCAAGCTGCTTACATGTCCACAATCATTCGAAATGCTGTGTTGCCACCTTCCATCGAGGTGGTGGAAATCAGCCGTGGACGAAGTCACAACAGCGTCCGCACTGTCAGTAAGAGCAGCCTGCTGCTCTCCAGCCCGGCCCCCTCCCGTGCTTCCTCTAGAGCTTCTTCATCCAGAAACACTTCCTCCAAAGCATCCACCATCAGCTCTGCATACTGCCACAACCCCTATAGTCTGTCTGACAGCTCATGTTGGAGCAACTCCGAGTCCTCAGAAACTTTGGTGTCGGACTCCTCGACCATCTCCAGCGGCAGCACCCTTAGGCAGGCCAGGTCTCGGGACAAAGATTGTTCTGCTAAGGAAGACAAAGTCAGTGTTCACGCCTCTGTAAGCAAGGCTTCAAAATGCACCTCCAATGGCAAGCTCATTGGTAAAGCAGGTGAAATTAGAAAAGAAGGGCATTTTGTGCGCAGCCTCTCTGTCACGAAGCCCAAAAAGGCTCCTCCTCCTCCCAGCCGCTCCTATTCCCTCCACAGCAAGATGAAGCGACGCTCACGTGATCTGGCAGAGGTTAAGGTCATTGCAGGGGTGCCCTCTGTCCAACCTGGATCTTCCCCTATGCACTCCAGGACCATAGACAGCCCTGACTACAATGCTGACACCAGTTCTCTGGACGACACAGGCTCTGTGTCATTCAGCCCCACCAAATCCCAGCTGAAGGAGCTAAAGACAGAGTATGCAGAAACTATTTCCAAAGATGCTTCACAGGAAAAGCAGGGAGTACTTCAGGTGAATAAGCTAGGTAAAATAATTTCCCCATCCAGTGGCTACTCTAGCCAAGATGCCACATCCCCCCAGTTTTCTAAACAACCTCACAGCTCATCTTCAAGACACAAGAGAGGCTTCTTAGCAAAGCTTCAAAGGTTTTTTCCTGGGTCCACTCCTGCTGGTTTGGCACAGCCCCTTGTCACACAGCCAGCCATTCCTGAAAAAAGAAAACCCATTGACTCAGTCGACACACTCAGCGTCAGCACCTCTGTAAGGACCTTGAGAGATCTCTTTGACATTCCTCCATACCCTAAAGTGCATGCACCTCCACCCCCTCCACCAGAGGTATGGGCTCACAGTAAACGTACCTTTGAGTTGCTGCTGGGACCCCCAGCCCCTGATGATGTTTATGCTATCATTAAGAAGAATCCAAAGGACAGGAGACAGAGGCAGTCTCCTTCTGCATCCACAGAGGGCTCTGTGAAGAGCTTGGTGGCAGAAAGGAAACACAAGTCTCCAACTATAACAATGGAGTCTGTTAATGGATCTCTACATGTATTGCAGATGAAGAAGGTTCAAGAAAGTGGAATTGTGAATACAGAGATTCATAAAGAGGACAACGAAAAGCTGGTTCAGAATGTAGATTTGAAAGGAAATAGTGAAGTGGCAGTAAAAGATGAGAAAGTAAGAGTAAGTGACATGTTAAATGGGATGATATTGAAGGCTGTAGAGAAACGTGAAGAAAGGCTGATAGCAATCAGAGAAGATGTCAAGAAGACAGCTGCACAAGGTACAGAGGTCAAGACATTACCTGCCATTTCATTAGCACACATTTCTCCCTCTCCCTCTCCTCTGGCGGCACACCATCCTCCCAAACTCCTCACCAAGCAAACCGCAAAAGTTGCTTCTGTCACATCAGTACAACCTGTTGTTTCCCCCGACTCATCCTGGCCCCCACCACCTTCACCAATGGGACAAGCGGGTGTAGGCAGGTCCGACCAGACCGATTTTGCTCTTCCACCTCCCCCACTGTTTAGTGAGGTAGTCATACCTGTTCAGGTGCCACCAGAGAGGTCTCTTCCTGTTGGTGGCTCCTCTTCTACAACTACATTCGTTACATCACTGAAGACAGAATGTGTTAAGGTAACCACAGCGGCTGAGCCACAGAGGTCCAGTTCAGTTCAGGTGATCACATCTCCACCATTGAATATCCCACCTCCCCCATCATATACAGCTCCCCCTCCACCAATTAACCCAGTCTCCCCTCCTAAGACTCAAAAGGTCTTTCTCCCACCAGAAGAGGTTATTCCACTACCACCACCTGAAGAGTTCTGTCTGCCACCTCCTAAAGAGTTCTCTGCTCCACCACCTACAGAGGTTTCTGCTGTGAGGCCCAAAGAATCATCACTTCAGGTTCAAGAAGTGCCCCCTCTTGTTAAAGATATAACCCCAACACTGATTAAAGTGGTTTCCCCTCCACTATTTCCTCATCTGGTTATTAAAACCTCTCCTCTGCCTCCGAATGAGATCTCCACTCAATCTACTGAAGAGGTTGCGCCATCATTTTCTCAAGACAGTGCATCTCAGTCTTCTGTAGAAGCAACAGTTGTTAGTAATCTTGCTCCACCACAAAGTATTCCACCTGCACCACCTCTACCATCACCACCAAAGGTTTCAAGGCAGGATATTAATCTTACACAAGAGACCATCCCATCCAAATCTTGTGTTAGTATTCTCACTCCCTCTAGGAGTATTCCAGCTCCGCTTCCCATAGAGTTTCTCCACCAACCTCCGGTTGTACCCCTGAACACTGATGGTCCAGTAACCCAGGAGGCCCCACTATCAATCCCACCGGTGCCAGCTCCTGAAACCTATTCTTCAGATAAGGCTCAAGAACCTCCTCCTCCTCCAACTGTAAACATCCCTCTACCTCCACCTTTACCAGTGCAGGGCCTTGCCAGCATTAAGCACCAGCCTAGTCATTCAAGCACAGAAGTCCAAAACCAAACGCTGCCCTCTGCCCGTGTTGTACAGGAGGAACTCACTCCCATTGTTACCCCTTTGCTCTTGCAGATGGTCAAGCTGCGAGCTGTCAACAGCAGCCATGAGCCCCCTAAAACTGAAAAGCAGCCACAGGCTGAGGTCATGATGAGGAAACAGAAGTCCTGCAGTCAAATGGCAACCTCATCTGTCAGTGGAGAGGCTCCTCAGAAGCCCATCAGAAAGTCTCTGATCATGACCTGTCCCACATCCACTTCTCCACCTGTCATAACCACTTCACAACCAGATCCACCCAAGTCCCAGTCTGTTGTGGTTCCACCTGCATCTTCATCCGCAGCCCTCTGCCCTATGAGTAAGTCCCCTCCTGCCATGACTGCCACTCCTTCCATGAACCTACAGGAGGCCATCCGCCTGAGGACAGCAGCCAGATCAAAAGAAAGACCTGCATCTCGCCTCAGCTTGCCTTCACCTCCATCACCCATAGACCCCCATAAATCACCGTCCAGCACAGCGAGCTTTATCTTCTCAAAGAGCAACAAGAGGGCGATGATTGAGACCAAGCGAGCTCCGGAGGCTAAGCCAACTGTACAGCAGAACCAGGGGGTTTCCTTTGTAACAAAGGTGATGAGTGAAGCAGAGAAGAAGGGAGTCAAGGTGCCACCACCTGTAGCAACGAAACCCAATACAATGGTCAAAGAGAATGAGAATGGTGAAGAGATGGAGCAAACTGCAGGCCAGGAAGCAGAGCAAGAGCATATTGAGGGTAAGAGAGTGTAGCCACAGTAATAGTTACATGTCAGACTGTAGTAATGTAATGACATGTTTTCTATGGGTTTGCTAGTGTTTAAGACTCAGCCTCAATTATTAAGACAGTAGATATTACTGAAAGGTTGTGTTGGGTGTGGGCAAAGACTTCTGGGACACTGGAATGCTGTTGAGCCTTCTTGGTGTCATGGGCCCAACTCCACGAAACAGTGGTTATTGAAAGGGTGCCCACCTGATGACCCTGTAGAGTTGCCTTCACTCCTCCACCCACACAGAACTTGTATTAGGAGCTGCTGATAATGCAGTTATTGATTCAGTGGGGTCATTTTCTTCTGATTGACAAGCTTAGTAGAATAGTGACCGTGGCTGCCTGGCTCTCAGATGTGATTGCCTACCAAGCCACTTGCACCAGCCACTGCATTACCTGAGTAAAGACTGATGGGAATGTCATTGGTTTTGTAGGTATTTGGTCATAAACCAAAACAGTGAATGAATTAGAGAGATAAAACCTCAGGGGATCACAGAAGTGATTACAATTCATCCTGAGGCTGACAAATGAAAAACATTTCAATCCATACACTAATGGTTGACATATTTCCCTCTGGGCCAAAGTGGCAGACCACCCACTGACATCGCTGTTCTTAGAAGGTTAACATGACTAAAAATAGAATCAGCTGTTGTTACTCCATTAAACCAGTTCCATTTGTGTTCCCCAACCTCAGGTGCTGCAGAGAAAACAAATGGGACAGCAGGTACTGTTGAAGGAGGAGAGACGCCATCAACGTGATTGTAAAGACTGAAGGAGGCCTGAGAAGGAATTACCAATTTGCTGAAAGTTGGTTTTTGTGTGTGAGACAAGCAAATGGATATGAGGAGATAAGATGCTTATTTCAAAATGGCATTTTGAAAAGTTCTGGATTTTAAAGATTTGATGTTAAAGGTTCAAGATTTTAAGTCTGTCATAAAAGAATATCGGTGTGTCCATATGTACATAAGAATAGGCCACGGACACTGGTGCTGTTCCTATGAGCAGGAACAGGGTGTAGGTCTGAAAGATATTCACTCAATTTAGTATAGTAGTGGAGTTTCAAGTGAGCCTCAGCTTAACTGCATGACCAAAACCTATTCTCACATACAAATGGGCATATCAATAGTCTTAATATCTTAAGACTGACTTGAAAAATCCTGGACCAATCCTGTTAATGGTGTGGGTCTTTTTTTTTTTTTTTTTTTTTAATCAAGTACTCATTTAGTAAAAATTTTTTGTGCAAAAGGGTCTTCTGCGCTTTACCCTCTCAAGAGATG